CAAGGCCCCGTTGTTGGGCCTGGCGGGGGATGGGGAGGCGGCTGATGGGGGTGTGTGTGTATGTGGATATACGTGTGTGTGTGTGTATATGCGTGTGTATATGTGTATATGCACGAGTATGTGTATATATGCTCGTATGTGTGTAGTTACACGTGTATATATCAGGATTCCAAGGGAAGTGGTGGAATCACCATCCCTGGAAGTGTTCACAAACCGTGTAGATGAGGCCCTTAGTGACAGGGTTTAGTGGTGGACTTGGCAGTGCTGGGATAATGGTTAGACTTGGTGATCTTAAAGGTCTTTTCCAACTTAGATGATCATAGAATCACAGAACTGTTTGCGTTGGAAGGGATCTTAAAGCTCATCCAGTTCCAACCCTTGCCACGGGCAGGGACACCTTCCACTAGACCAGGTTGCTCCAAGTCCTGTCCAACCTGGCCTTGAACACTGCCAGGGATGGGGCAGCCACAGCTTCTCTGTGCGACATGTTGTATGTATGTATATACATGTATATGTGTGTGTGTATGCTGTGTGTTACATGTGTGGACATAAGCATATTTGTGTGTGTATGTGACAACCCTCATGGGAGGTGCACGTTAACCATGGTGCCCTGGTTTCCCCTCCCCAGAGCTGGAGGGAACAGACAGGACGGCGGCAGAGAAGGCCACTGGGCAGTGGGAGAGATGGCGACGGGCGCGGATGTGCGGGACATCCTGGAGCTGGGTGGTGTGGAGTCGGAGAACACGGGCACCATCAACAAAAAAGATATCATCAACTCAGATAAGGTAAACTGCGAGGCGCTAAGGGCCTGCTGCTTGTTTTCTCGGCACTGACTGACCGTGCATGTGGTGTCTGGGGCAGATATTGGAAAAAATATGGAATAAAGCATGTTCTTACCAGAGCCTGTTTAATTTCAGGCTTCCTAGGCATATCTGGAAATGCCTGGAGGGCCAGATTCCTGGTGTTTTTAGTTAACTGCACTGTGGCATTTGGGGCAGTATTAAAGCTGAAGCTGTGCAAGTGGTGTCCTGGTGAGCTGAGCCTGTCCCCAGGACATTTTCAGCTGTCTTGAAAATTCCCATTTTGTGGAGTGAGAAGTGTGTTTACTGTCTAGCCCACAAACAGATGGAAATAACATGACACAGCCCTGTTTTAGAAGGAAAAAAACTTGACTGACTTGATTCAATAGTAAATGTCCTCAAACCGTGGGAGCAGTCCTTCTGCAGGGAAGGTGTGTGGCTGGGGTTTGGGAGAACTGGGATGTGTTGCCTGTGGGAATGTGTGCAAGTTAGTAAGCTCTGTTAAGGATTTATGACTTCATGTGCTGTGTTCTGTGTGGTAATGCACCACGGTATGTTGTTGCCTTCTGTATTTTAAATTTGAGCAAAGTCTTGGCTTGCAAGGTGTCAGTTAATGAGTAGTTATGAGAGTGGAGGTGCTTGAAAATGAGTCGGGGGAGATGAAATCCCCAGGAACTCTGGTACAGAGATGGTCTGATTTGTATTTGTTTGGGGAAAACCCCAAAGCAAAACAAAATGCCACTCCATCCCTGAAAGTACTTCCTGACTGTCTTTGCCTCTGCTGAAATGTTTGTCTCTGAAGAGAAGTAGTGATTTCATGACTCTCTTGCTGGGGTTAGGACATGTAGTATATAATTGGTGTAATGGAAACCTGATCAGTTTCATTAATTTAGAGGCTGAAATGTTAAAATTACCAGTTATCAGCTGAGTTGGTGAACAGTGTGTCTAGTGAGTGTCTGGGTTCAGCCTGTGATGTGTCACTGAGTGCTTGGAGTTGTAAGTTCTTTGATTTAGATGTGTTTGTCTGTTAGCTAGCAGAGAGCGGGAGAAGTACTGATGGCTGGCTCTCTCTCTTTTGGAGCAGCGAGTAAGAGGGACTTCTCCCCAGATTTACTGTAATGGAAAGAGAGAGGAAGGGGAGGTGCAGTGAGAGGTTTCAGGAGGAGTGCAGGAGGCCACTTGCGGCTGTGGGTGAAACATTCTGAATTTCTGTGAAGCACAGAAACTAAATCAAACCAAAGGTATAAGCCATTATCGCGTGGGGAGAGCAAAATTGCTAATAACAGTGCAGCACTTGCTCAGGAAATAGATCTGTTCTCAATTAGAAACAAAACAGATTGATGTCTTTAAATCACAAGAGAAACATGAAGTACTTCCCAGTCCATTAGTGACTGAGAATGTTAAAAAAAAATTACTGGGCATAAAAACATTTAAATCAGCAGGACCAAGTAATTTGTTCTCAACTCCTAAAAGAGCTGTCTGAGCTGATCTCTGGCCTGCTGATATTAACTTCTAATAAATCTGGGAACTTTGGGGGAATTCCAGAAGCCTGTGTTCAAACAGGCTGTGTGGTGACCCATGTGTAACTGCCTCTGTTGGCCTTACATCGCTCCTGGGCAGTGATGGACATGCTGGGAGAAAGGTGTTTGATTAGGAGTGAAAAGGTGCCAATACAGTAAGTGTCTGTCATGAAGTTTTATGGAAAGTGGTTGTAGTCTAAGCTGATAGATTATTATTTTTTTAATAGGATTTTGAATTTGCCTGTTAAAGGATTGAATACAATTTATGATGCAGTGTTGGTTTTCCTATTACAAAATAGTCTGATTTAAAAGTTGGTAGTGATGTGATAAACAAGTACTTAAAAGTGGTGGTATGGCTAGTAGTTACAAAGATGGTACAGTTTGACCAAATGCTCTGGACTACTCAGTAAACTCATCCCACGTATATCAAGTGTACGTTGTTAATGTGGCTGCTACTGTATTTACCTGACTCCAAGCCCATTTACTTTATAAACTTATATATGTGATATCAGGTGGACTATGTCTTAGAAACTATTAGTTCTGACAAGGTTTTAGGGGCCAGACTGAGTTTTCTCCACTGAGTTTCTTCATACTAGGAATTATGTAAAAAAACTTGAAAAAAAAAAAAATCTTTGCTGCATAAATGGGAGAGTAGTGGTGGGGATGGGGTTTTACTTTTGTAGGTGATACTGGTAGTTTGGACATGGGGCTACTGCAAGGGTTTGATCACAACTGGGAAAAACTGAAGTTGCTGCAGAACAAAGTGACCAAAAACCTAGAAGAAGGTGGGAAGACATTTCTTAGTATCTTCTGTAAAAGGTAGAAAATCACTTAATTAAATGCATGTCTTCCTAGTAGCTGTGTTTTGGCTTTAGTCTGAGAATAATGTTGATAATGCACCAATGTTTTAGTTGCTATGTAATGCTTACCCTAAGTCAAGGACTTTTCAGTTTCTCATGCTCCCAAGTGAGGAGGGGCACAAGGAGCTGGGAGGGAGCAGAGACAGGACATCTGAACTGAACTAGCCAAAGGGGTATTCCATACCCTGGAATGTCATGCTTAATACAGAAACTGGGGGGAATTGACCAGGAGGGGCTGTTCACTGCTCATGGATGGGCTTGGACATCAGTCAGCAGGTGGTGAGAAATTGTATTGTGCATCACTTTGGTTTTGGCTTTAGTTTTTTTTTACTCTCTCTCTCTCTTTTTTTTACTGTTAATAGTATTCTATTATACTTTAATTATTAAACTGTTCTTATCTCAACCCACTATTTTTACTTTTTTTCTTGATTCTTTTCCCCATCTAACTCTGTGTGTGTGTGTGTGTGTGAGTGAGTGAGTGGCTGTGTGGTACTTATTTGCCAGCTGGGGTTAAACCACGGCAATGCATTAATACCTTCATGTGAGTATAGTGCTTACCTAGTAGAAAAACCCTTAGTGCACTAGCCCCTGAAAACTACAGCCAGATGTTCAACTTGGAATTGAAGTGTGTGTTATCAGCAACAACAAGCGTCTGAGTACTGTTGAGTGCTATCGCTGAAAATGGGTGTGTTTTGACTGTCAGTGTCTTCCACCAGGAAGAAATTCAAGGTGTCTAAAACCACATAAAAGTGAAAACCATCACAGGACACCACGTTATGTAGTTTAATGTTCCCTCAGGGATTGCTACTTCTGAATCTAAAATGCAATTCTTTTGTTTCAGAAAAAATCCAAGAAATCTTCAGAGACATTGACGTTTAAGAGGCCAGAAGGAATGCACAGAGAAGTTTATGCACTCCTCTACTCTGACAAAAAGTAAGAGCTTATGGTCATCTGGGTAGGTTGTGGTGTAGCCTGGACTTTTGGTAGCAGGGCAGCATCTTATTGAAACCATAGGCAGTCTTGCTTCCCACATCGATTCACCTTTGTGCTTGGCCCATGCCTGTGCCCTTCTCTCTTAGTCATGAACAGTGCCTGTCTTCTCTCTTCTAAATGTGAGGGGTTTGCTCTGTGTAGATGAATTGGGTATAGGCACAATAGTCTAGAGCAGACAAGGCAGTATTCTTACCCTTCTGTGTCTAGTTCTCTTTTATTTGCAAGTGGGAATAGCACCTGCTTTTATTTCTGTAGAAAGAATTCTGTAGTCTGTATTTAGCTTGTTATGGATTGAACCCTTGCCTTAGAGGTCTCTTGCATAGTTTGATGGTTCTGTCAAAATCCATCCAGGCAGTGTATTCTGTCCTCTGATCCTGGAAGCATTGCAGTCTGGGAAGTGCACAACCTGAATAAAGCTTAAACTCAGTTTTTCCCGCCCTAAACACTGTGGTGGCAGATCCCACTGAGTCCAAAATCTCTTTGGGTTTATTGTGGGCTGCTGCTCGCTTTTTGTCAGCCACTGCTTTTCTCCACCGCAGGGATGCGCCTCCACTGCTGCCAAGTGATACAACTCAGGGTTATCGAACAGTCAAAGCAAAACTGGGATCCAAGAAAGTCCGGCCTTGGAAGTGGATGCCTTTCACCAATCCAGCAAGAAAAGATGGAGCAATGTTCTACCACTGGAGGAGAGCAGCAGAGGAAGGGAAAGACTACCCTTTTGCCAGGTTCAATAAGGTAAGTGGGAGCACTTTCAAACAAAAGCATATAAATAGCAGCTGGAAAATACCCTTTTGTCAGCTTCTTGAGTGTCCAGACAGGAAGTTGGTTCTTTCAATAAGTGGAGGCTGAGTTAGATTTGGCAATTTAAATTGCAGCATGGCCTTACAGCCATGTGACCACAGACTATGATGTCTCCAAATCATTCAAGCTAGGAGGGCTCAGTATGTGGTCAGAGCTTGCTGTGTTTCAGGTGCTCCTTACCAAGTCTTGTTATTGATTTGGTAAGGAAGCACTCTGCCATCTAATTTTGTTCCTAACCACCATCCTTCCCCTGATTACAGGCTCTGGGTGGTAAAAGATACTCTATTCTGAAACACACGTTAAAGTCATAAGTCTTGTTATTTTGCCCAGTGTGAAAAAAATCGCTAGAGCTTTGTGGCATAAAAGCTGGCTTGCAGCCTCTTGGCCAGATTCCAGCACAGATGCTGAATTACGTTGTGTTCCCTCTGCAATTGCTCCTGTGGTATCAGTGTGGTGCAGTACCCTGTTCTTTGCATCTTACATTAAATTGTCACAATGTGTTGTTGTAATCTCCCACTGTCTTTTGTCCCAGATGTATCTGCTTTGAGTGGCTGGGGCTTTCATGTGTATGCACAAAGAAAACTACATCAAGATTTATACTTCAAAGTCAGGGCCTCCAAATTTAGGAAGGAGCAGAGTTAGGGTGCCTTCATAACATCATTTAATCCCCTTCATGGTGGATATCTGAAGGGGAAAAAAAAAGTGTGTGCTAACATGATTTCCACAAAAGCTCTACTTGCATATACGACATTTAAAGTTTGTAACCCACAGAGCATCAGTTCTGTCAAAGCGTGGCTTCCTGCAGAGTTAAGTGGTTGATTAACCTTGTGTGTTAGAAGACTTAAGCTCTGACTGATGCTTTTCCTCTTGCTGGGATGTCAGTAAGAGCCTCGTGTCGTATCTCTTCTCTAGGGTGTCTATGGTAGAAGTCTGAAGCATGACTCAGCCAAGGCATCTGCCTGGCTGTCTAAGGGAAACTTTGGGGGTGTAATTGTCTCTAGGACTCTACTGCTGTAACTGCTTTTGGCTGAGTTCAGCTGAGTTTATCAGAGGGAGCCACACATGGGTTGTAATTACATGATTCTCGTTTCCTTAACTTTATCATGTACTGCGAATTGACAGACAGAAGAGCCTTCAGCAAGTCTGCAACCTGTAGATTAGTGGTACAGACTTCTGGCATCTGCACATGCCCAATCGTGTAATATTAGGAGCAAGTCGTTATGCTTGTGGATCTGTGGTTAAGAGGGAAGACGGCACTGATGAGGAGTTCTGCAGATATTTGCTATGTCAGAGGAATTTTGTTTACTTTTCCAAACTCTTCTGTGGGTTCCTTCTCGTATACTTGATACTTCTGCCCAAATTTTTACTCCCCTTGGCATAAGCCATTTCCCTGTGTAGTCCATCGTACTGGTCCCTCAAGCTCAGTTCCTTTGCCTTTCCTCTGTGCTTCGTCTCCAAACCAAATCCTTCCTATTCATTGTGAGATCCAAAATGTAAACTTAGGTTTCACAGTGTATACTGAGCCTTGATCCAGGGTGTGAAATAGGAGTATAAAAGCAGCTTCATTGGTGCCAGAGCAAAGGCCCCTCTCAGCTGATATTCTATTTCTGGCTACCATTAGGAAAGGCTTAGAGAAAGAGTATGAGAATGGGGAAAATACAGAACATTTTTTCCTAGCTTCTGGTGGTCACTGGTTTAAGGATTTCTTAACTTGGAATTTGTGTTTAATAATTCTTGCTGGGTTCTGAGCAGAAAGCTGCTCTGTGAATACCCCATGGTAACGAATTCTTCAGGTTAACTTTGTATGATGTGCAGAGGTGTTGCTTCTGTTCGTTTTAAACTGCTGCCGTGAGGTTTCATTTGGTGCCTCTGAGATCTTGTGACATGACGTAGTAAATTGTCCTTGCTGTGCACTGTGTTTTGTGTAAGGTGGCATACACCTGCCCTTCTGTGCCCTGTCTCACCTTGTTCTCAAATATTCTTTCTTTTGAAACAGGTGGGCTGGGAGTGAGTGTTTTACTTAGGGCTGCGTAGGGGGTTTGTACGTTGGCCGTGTTTCTCTTTATTTCCCTGATCATTTTTACTATTCAGCTTGTCTTTTCAGCACTGCAGGGCATTGTGCTGGTGCTTTCTCAGAACTGTCTCATGGCTCCAGGAGTTTTCCTGAGCAGTTTCAGCTAATTTAATGCTCATCATTGTGTGAGTTTATAGTGTGAAATGTAGGACTGAGAAGGGTTTTCTGAGCCATTGAATCTTCCTCTTGGCTCTTTCACATGCTGCACCATCCAGTCCCTTTCATAAACTGATCAAGTTCCTTTTGAAAAGCACTTGGATTTTCTTGCCCCTCTGCTTCCTTGGGAAGCTGTTCCAGACTGTCTCTGCTCCATTTCTTATTTCTAGGTTAAATTTTACATGTTAAATTGGCATTTCCTTGCAAACCAATTTCTTTGTCCTTGTATCAGTTGTTCTTTTCTTCCTGTGGGTATTCCTTTCATTCCCTGTAGCATACTTGAAGCCTGCAGTCATATTCCCCTTTAGGCTTCCTTTGCCAGGCTCCTTTCTCTTCCAGTCGGCTGTGGGAAGACAAGCTCACCATTCCATTACTCATCCTTGTTGCTCTGAAATGGGTACTTGTTCCCATTTCAGTTCATTTTTCCGCAACAGGGGTTGGTGGAGTTGTAGTTGTCATTCCTACCAAGGTCTTGCGCAACTGAAACCTTGCCAGTTTCTGCTGGAAATCCCTTTCTGGGAGTCATACTTGCATTTTCATGGCTGCAGTGCATTTGAACTTACAGTCATCTCGTGTTTGGCGCAAGCTTTCCATCTGACGAGTTCCCACATTCTCAATTCTCGTGACTGGGGCTGAGGAAGTGTCTTGGAAGTGTCTGCTCTTGTGCCATTCTCTTCTCTGATCAGGCACCTGCCACCTTCCCTTCCATCCACTGCAGGAGGTCCTGCTGGCTCTTTTCATATGTGTATGCTACTCTAGAAAATAATTCTATTTGTCATGATGTACTTAGGACATCCTTACAGTGTCTAGTCAGGCTTTTCTCCTGGTGGAAGGGGTACTGGAAGGTTGAGGTGCAGAACCTCCCCAGGAGATACGCTTCACCTTTAAGCTTCTGTGCCTAAGTGAAGGAAGAAAGGCAGTAAACTTAAGAAGGTTGTTATTGGAGGCTCAGAAATGCTCCTCTGAGCTGTATGGAGTTCATGAGGAGGACTTTTCTCATGTAGGTCTCGGGGGCATAGTGTTATTGACACGTGGTGCTCACATGCGCACAATGCTTTCTGGTGGAGGCAGGATCTCCTCAGGCTGAGCACAGTTCCTCTGCGGGAGTGGTGGGAGGGTGAAAGGCAGGAAAGCACAGGCTTGGTGGTACTTTTGCTTTACCATGTGCTAGGACTTCCCCTAATGCAGTAAGTATTTTTATTGTTGCTTTAGTACTCATGACTTTTGTTCTGGATAGAGTCCTGCAGAGCAATTCCAGGGTTGGGACAGTGGTGTGGGTTTTGCCTTTTAGACACCTGGGACACTTGAGAGTTGAACTTTCGTTTGGTGCTGTGGCTCTGCTGGAGAAAGGGTGGATGAGGAAGGGAGGGACAAAGTTGTTTGCCAAGTTTATGGCCCTCAGCTGTACAGCACCCAGCCTTTCAGATTGTCTTGGTGCTGTCTGCACCAAACATGAAAGAAATTGTTTGTGTATCAAAGCAGAAGGTGTGGTAAAGGCTAGGGACTACTGCTCCTTGCCTTTCCTGTTCTTCCTGTATAAGTAAGCATGTCCCAGACCAAGTAGAGTTGCCTGTCAAAGCAGTTTATGTCAAGGTGTTGGTGCTGCTATATGGGAGGAATGCAGGGAGGCTGGCTGAACCTTGGGTTCACTGTCATGTTAGCCTGATAAGTTTGAAACCTATAGTCAGGATGTGGGTTGCTGACCTCTGCCTGTGTCAGCCACCTGAAATAGGTTTCAGCCTCCCAGGCAGTAGTTCCTGGTAGGCTTCCCAGAGCATTGTTTGTGGCCCTGAGATCGCACATTGCTCCTTATCAAGTCCTGTTCCTGCTCCTCATGTTTCCTACTAGGACCCATTGCTCAGGGTCCTGGCAGCCCTCTGCTGTCAGCACCCTGCTCTTGTTCTTGGTTCAAGTATCTTGGCCCTTATCAGCTGGCAGTGAGAAGAGCTCCAAGAGAGCTACCATGTTTTTCTTTTCTCTGCATAGACAGTGCAGGTACCTGTCTACTCAGAGCAGGAATACCAGATGTATCTCCATGATGATGCGTGGACCAAAGCTGAGACAGACCATCTCTTTGACCTGGCTCGGCGTTTTGATCTGCGCTTTGTGGTGATTCACGACCGCTACGATCACCAGCAGTTCAAGGTGAGTCCCAGGGGCCAAGGTGCTGCTAGCAACCTGCTGCGATGGCACGTGCAGGGCTTGCTGCACTGCAAAGACCAAATTACCTTTTATATCAACTTAATTAGGGGGAAATAATGAATTATTGGCAGCAGGGAATATTGAATTTCCAGCACAGGGCATTGCTGCTTGCTTTGTTTGTAATTAAATCCGCTGTGACTTGTGCTCATTCCCTGTTGTGTTTTATTAGAAAGTTAGAAGGTTTGCCCCTGCCAGGAGAACAACTTATTGTTCCTTGAAGATAAGGCAGCTCTGGAGTTTGTTTAGCTGAGCAGGATAGGTGTCCTGGATTACAGTCTAGGCTCTGGGAGAAGGATCCGCTAATGGTCCCCAGGGATTGGGATTTTTCCTTAGTGCTGTTCCTGACCTGGTACACGTTTCTGTTATCTCTCCTGTGAAGCAAGGACCATCAGTGGTCTGAAGGTCTCATGGTCATAAATCTCCTGTATTTGCTGGTTCCGTGCCTCCTGGTGACATGGGAGAATGATGTGACTCCTACAAAACAGTTCTGAATGTTGGACCTTTTTGTTATCCTGAAATGCTCATGTGAGGAGCCTCTAGCAAAGTGAAATAACAAGAGTTTGTCCAGCTGGGCTGCCAAAACACCTTTGGTGCTTTGAGTGAGGGAACCCAGCTTAGACTCCATGTATCAATGGACAATGAGCTATTGCAGCTGGTACCTTCTTGGTTATGCCTTGAATGGCCATTGTCTGGAGCAGCTCAGAGGAGGCCTCCTGTGTGTTTGTTGCAGTTTCTTATTTGCAGGTTTTCTCACAACTATCTTGCATCCTTTTTTCTGGGAGTGCTTCACTGCTGTGTTGTCTCTAACCCTCAGCTGTACTACTGGACCCTCTGGTGGGTGTTTTTAAAGCAGTAACTGTGAACCCATCACAGTTCATTTGTGCAGTTCACTGAGAAACTCTCCCTTCTGTGTGGTTGTTCCGCTGGGACTGGCTAGGCTCCCAGCTGGTCTTCCTTCCAGATGCTCTCTTTACTCTAACTGATGTCCTTCAGCCTCTGGTCCTCAGCTGGCTATTGCACAAGGTTTTGCTTGGTTCTTTCGTAATATTGTCTTCCTGTGATATCTTCCACAGAAAAGATCAGTGGAGGACTTGAAGGAAAGGTATTATCACATCTGTGCCAAGCTGGCTAATATTCGTGCAGCTCCAGGCACAGACCTGAAAATCCCAGTGTTTGATGCTGGCCATGAGAGGCGAAGGAAGGAACAACTGGAAAGGCTGTACAATAGAACACCAGAGCAGGTAACCTGGGGAAGAGGGCATCACTGCTCAAAAAGTTTTATGTTAAGTTGAATCAGTAGTAAATAGTGTGGGAAAAGGAAAGAAAGAATGGACAAGAAAAGAGCATTTTAAGGGGTACGAAAGGACAATAACTGAGAAATCTGACAGGGGAGAGGGTTATGGTGAGCAGAGTTATGGTCTCTGGTAACTGCCAACACCTTCTCTGTAACACTATATTAGTTCTCTGAATAGAAATAAATTTGAAGATCAATGTCCTTATGAATCCCTGAGTCCCATGGGAGGAGAATTACTTCATTGAGAGTGAAAGTTTTGCCAGAAAGCATCAAAGATTGTAAATCTACATGTTTATTTCTCCTCTTTGTTGAAGCCGTGCAATGGTCCCAGGGTTTAGTGGTTAAGGAACTGTGTGTTCCTCAAAGGCAGGGGGAGAGCATCTTTTTCTATTAGTAAGTCCCTCTTAATGACAAGTTCATATGTGTGACAACTCTGCTTGTCCTTCCCATGTTGACAGGTGTGCTGATAGTAGACATAGCTGCTCTAGATTCTACATACTAGGTCAGGGAAGGAGAGCCAGCTTTTCACAACACTCCATTTGCAACTACAGTATATTTGGGCTTTTTTATCCTTTTATCTGTGCTCTTGGTGTCTTTGTCTGGAGGTGAGATTAATCATTTATGGATGCTGCTAAAGGGTACATCATGGATGTTGTGATACAGTCCCTGCCAGTTTGTAGCTTGACATTGCCATGGGTGCAGGGAAGGCTATGGAGCATAACGTGCTCTGCAAATCCAAGACATTAGGCAGGTGAATTTAGTCATTCCCAGGCTGGCCCAGAGCCGAGCTGTTATCGGTAGATGGCCCCCTTACACTGCTAGGCCTCCTCTGCTGCTCTGATTGCCTTTATGTGCTCTGGCCTGCAGGTGGCAGAAGAAGAATACCTCATCCAGGAGCTCCGCAAAATCGAAACCAGGAAGAAAGAGAGAGAGAAGAGAACTCAAGACCTGCAGAAGCTCATCACAGCTGCTGACACCACCACTGAGCAGAGACGTGCCGAACGCAAGGCTCCCAAGAAGAAGCTGCCACAGAAGAAGGAGACAGAAAAGCCTGTAAACATTTCTTTTTTTTCTTTTAAATTCTTTTTTCCCCCTTTTCCCTGCTTATGCTGGGCAACGTTTTCCTTCAGCAATCCTACTGGGATCAGGCCTTCAGCTCTTTTCGGGGGAGTAGCTGCTGGCTGCCTTCTGGCAGATGCTTTTTGGTTATGCCTTTTGGAAGGCAGATTGGTCTAAGGCAGCCGTTGTCAGAGTCCTCTGGTGTGCACTCTGTCTCTCTCCCATTTGAAAAATGCTGGTTTAAATTCTGTTTCCCCTTCCTGCTCTGAAAAATGGGATGAAATATTGCCAACCATTTATGCTTCATGGCAGGGAGAAGCATCTGTCTCCCTGCTTCTCCAAAGTGTATTCTAGTACTGTTGTGCAGGGTTGTCCCATCAACCCATTATCTTTCACCTGCCTTCTTTTTCTAGTCCATGTTTCCCTTTCCTTCCCTGCTCCTGGGTCTCAAGCAGTGTCTCCCAAGCTCAGTATGTGCCCGTCTCCTGATCCTCAGCTGTGATCAGAGCAGCCCTGCTGGGGGACTCTTGTATTCTGGGAGCTATTACTTCTTATTTCTCCTTGAGCTGAGCTAAAGTCTAAGGAGCCCAGAATACAGGGTTTAATTCACATTTAATATTACCTCAGTTTCCCTTTCTGGAAAGAGGACAGTGTGGACTGAACAAATTCAGCACCTTCAGTAGGAAAGGACTGTTACAAAATCTCAGGTATTTCCAGTGAGTCCCTGGGAATTCCTGTCCCTCTGTGTTTTGTGAACAGAGAGCACTTATGTCATTGTCCTCCAAAAGGGTCTGCGCATACAGGGGAGGGAAACAGTGAATCCTAGACAGTTATTGCTTGATGAAGTGTGCCTAATGGCCACCACTTCCTTAAAGCATTGTTTTGTTTCCCCCCTGCCCCTCAATATAATATCACTGGACACCTTGTGCATTGAATTCCTTTGAGGGTTGATATGGTAGAGCTCAACCATGGCTGGTGTGTATCCCTCTGAATAAAGCAGCTTGTTGGTGATGGTAATGAAGAAAGGGTGCTGATGGAGAATGGGGCTAGAAAGATGCTGAGGATGGCAGGGTGAGGGAACCCAGACCTAAATACTGGCAGGTACCTGTCTGCAGGCATATAGTGGATAGGCACGCCAGGGTGGGCAGAGAAGCAGTTTCTGTTGTTGCACTAGCATCATTTCAACCATGACAGAGTCCATTAGGAGTCAATTACCAACTATAGCCGGGAAATGTTAAGAAAAAAATTGCATTTTAACTAAGAATTTGAATTGAGAGCTGCATCAGCATCATTTCAACAAAGGAAAATCATTTACCAAAGAGTCAATTGAGGTTGAAGCGTTTACAGCATGTACAGGCACGCAAAGCAAAAGAACCCATTTAATTGCTTATGCGCTGAGTGCAGTCAGAGTTGTCTTGGTTAAGCCAACAATGCTGATTTACCCTCACTGCTTGTGTCAGGGTGTTCAGCAACAGGCTGGGGGGCAGAGTTCGGGGAGTCTGAAAGCCAGCATTTATCCAAAGGGAGCAAAGACAATTGGTTTTTGATTGCAGCCGCTTTTGCCTCTAATAATCCAAGCAGGGAGGCTACAATCCTCCCAAAGATCAAAGTGATCCCTAGAAATTCATGAGCCCTGCTGGTAGTTACAGAATACCTTTTCCACCATGGTCATGTCTAGAAGGCTTTTCCTGGAGCTTCTGTTTATTGGACTGACTACAGATAACAAAAAGATCCTTAATGCCTGGCCACGCAGAGCAGTTTGCAAAGTGCCACCTCAAGACCGAGACACAGAGATAGCTGATAGAGATGTGAGAGTCATTGGCAGGGAACTTGAGGAATTGAGTCACTGTCCTTCAGCATCTCTTGTGATCTTGGGGCAGCCCTGGTTGTCTCAGTGCTGTCTGGAATGAAGAAAGAGCCTCTCTGCGGAGAAATGTGGGAGCAGCAAGGCAAACACCATCTCCAAAGAAATTAGGAGATCTGAGGTGACTCTTCCTTTTGGAAAAGTGTGGTTGAGCATATGTTTTGTAGAAACTGTGGCTATTCATAGATTGAATTGTGAGTGTGGCCGACCCATGCAGGGGGCCCCACACCATTCATTGCACAGGCCCCTGCAGGCAGCCTGGTTTAATCATTTAGAAGTTTGCTCACCTTGTGTTTTGCTTGACAGCAAGGATTTTTAAGGAATTTGGTTTATTTTTTTTCTCCATTTTGTTGAAATGCAACTAAATGCTCTCCTCTCTAGCAGCAGCAGCAGCAGCATTAGAAGTTTGCCACCTTGTATTGCTATGCTTAAAATGTGAAGTGGGGAAGAAAGAAAACTGTCTAACAAGTGGACAAATGGTAAAGGTGTATAAACAGCAGGCCTCCCTGGAGAGGTGCAGACCTTACATCCTCATTAGTGGGTCTCTACAGATCAGAGGTTTCTCAGCTCATTCCTTAGAGGACTTTCAGTCAAAAGCTAAGATTTAGGGAAATCCTGGGCTGTTTTGTTCAGTGAAATGGGCCTGAGTTAGATAGGGATGATACTGTGCAAATATGCGTATGTTAGTACAAAGAGTAACATTTAGGGTTTATGCTTGTGTGGATGGGTTTGGGGCCCATGCATTTAAACCAACCAAACAAAAATGCTTGTGCTTTTCAAAGATACCTTGGAGTGTTTTTCTCAGTGAATTGCTTGGGATTTTCCCACTGAATCCCATTGCTTGGGATTTTCCTCTTGCCTCAGCTCTGACATGTGGCCATGGCAGGTGGTTCTCTGTCATAGGAAACACTGTTTCCCCTTCAGATAGTCTCTATATGAAATCTTGTGTTTCCTCCATCAACACATCCTGTTTCTATCTCTTTCAGGCTGTTCCTGAGACTGCTGGCATCAAGTTTCCTGACTTCAAATCTGCAGGTGTCACACTACGAAGCCAGAGGGTAGGCTGTCGTCCTTGTCCCTTGGGACCTCTGTTAATGTTTTCCAGTCTGCCTGTCTGTCTCCTCATCTGTTCTCCTTTTATAGCTAAACAAAATCAAGTTCTTGCCTCTAAAATAAGAAAGGAATTCCATAAATGTGGAGTCTCAGAAACCTGGAATGCAGGCTGTGGGGAAGCCAGCTCATTGCCTTGAAGGGGCACCTGAGCTTGCTGGTGTTTGTTACTGGTGTGCCTGCTCTGTGGTTAGACACCTGACAGACCCAAATGGAACTGTCTAGTCCAAAGAGAGCTCACAGCTAAATGTAATAAGCCTCACAGAGCACGTGTCTTAATAGATGAGAGGTGCTTTTAAGAACTGGATGTTCAGGTTGTGTCTGGGAAAAAAGAGACACATATACACAGTTTTTGCCTTCCTGTTTCCATTATCTTCCAAACATATTTTGAGAAAAAACCTCTTTGTTCATTCTGCTGCACAGATATCCCTGAGAAATAACTTTCTTGTTGTTTCATCAGCAAGATAAATGTGGATGCCTGTCTCTTAGCGACAGGGTTTGGGATACTGAGTATGTTAAACCTGCCTGGCTGGCTGAATGTTTTTAAAGGGTTTTGATAGCAAAATCCTGTTTGCCCAAGTACAAGTGTTTATTTTTTCTATTTTTAAATTTCCCTAGCCAAATAAAATAATCCTTAGTTGCTTTACTGTAGGAAATGTGGAGAAGTAGGTTCCTTGCCCAGCACACTCACTTGGTATAGTAATTTTCTAGGTCACTTTTAAAGACTGTTTTATGGGATGTACTTTTGATGTCAGAATAGTTTCAGATCTTGCTGGGAACGCCCTGGGGCTGTTAATAGGAATGTGTTTGGGATCATGCTGCTTCACCATATGGGTGCATGCACACATTAGAAGCAATATGCCTCAGCAAGGTCCCTCCTGGGAGATCCCTTAGTGTACAGGTGCCACCATTTGCAGCCTACCTGTTTGAGTGAGGGGCTACAGCCTTGAGGAAGTCAGAGGCAAGTGACATGCAAGACTGCAGTGCACGTGTTGAGATTTATGGAGACGTGGCAGATGTGTTCTCCAGCACTAAGATAAATAGAATAATTTATGGAGATTGGATTTTGAAAACTAATAAGTAATGGTTGATCTTTCCTATATTTTTTACCCCCTCTGGAAGAGAAGCTGAGCAATAACCTATCAGTGATGGAACCATCTGGCAAAGCCAGCAGCCTTTTCGTTTGCCAAACAGGCAATTCACATCCTATCCATTTGTGAAAATGGGTGTTACATGCTTTTCGCTGTTCTCTTTAATGCTCACAAAATGCAGGGATAAGCTGAGGCATGGCAATCTGATTCAGCAACTTTCAGGCTGCAGTATCTAAGCTCCTGGGATGACCTAGAGCAACTTTCTATGCTCTGCTTGAAATTTTTAAGGAGATAAATGCTGTTACTAGAAGTACCAGTGGTTTGCGAATTGAAGATGACTGCAAATCAGGGATCCAGGTGAAAAAAAACAACACTTTGTTGCTTGGAAATGTGAAACCTCCCTCCAACCCAGTGAATGAATTCATTTGTGGCTTTTAGCCAGTCACCTGGCTTCCTTATTCAAGTCTTCCCTATTCTTAAAACGGGAGCTAATAGACTTGCTTTCTTCACATGTGGGTGATGGGGAGAATTAATCATATGAGGTCAGTATGGGCTTTTTGAATTCGTAAGAGGTGCTGAAGTGCTAAGTGGTACAGAGTTGGCAATCCATGCTAATCCAAATTATTTTGCTGGTGGATTTATGTGTCAAACCCTCTACACATTAGTGGTGTGGAATTGATATGGGTGGGAGGCGACTAGGACTAAGCAAGGAATTGGGATGCTGTGCTGGAAACTTGCACTCTGGCAGCATCCAGCGTAAGATGTTTTGCCCTGAGCACATTGGAAAATGATTTCTAAAGGCTTGTGAATCCTGCAGTAGGTTCCTTTGCCTGAGGACCTAAAGGGTTCCTCACCTGAAGGCTACTATTGTTCTCCTTTATTTTGTACTTTACTACTGTGCTTTACGCCTTCATAGTTAGGCGAAGTTGGATTTTGCACCAAGATCAGGGACTCAACCTCTGTCATGTGTGAAAAATGTACCATATCATTCCCAGGATAATAGCACTTAACTCTTTGATTAGAGATTATTTTCCCTGAGGATTTACAATTAGGCTGAAAACTTGAGTTAAAATTAATTTATAGAAATGAGTCCTTGAAGAAAAGGACTGTATTCAACTGCATTCTGTATTCTACTTGATTTGTTCCCAGTAGTTTTTATGACAATAGCCCTGGCTTTTCAAATTCTCCCTGTTGTTAAAGCTTACAGAATCTTATGCATAAACTGAATATGAAGATCTCCCCTCCTCCCTCTTCCCTGCCCCCCCCCGGATTAATGGCCATTTATGGCTATTATTCTTCATAACTGAAAGTTTCTCCTACAGCAGATGCTGAAGAGTAATCTTCAGTGAGTTCAGTTTGACAAGCTGCCTTCTAGCACAATGGCTTCAGTCTCCCATTGTTCTCCATGGGACTGTGGCCACAGGCAAAGAAGGCCACAGCCCCTGTGCCCTTGCTCTGTGTGGGGTTTCCCCTCTGCCTCCTGATAGCACAGACTGCAAGTTTCTCTAAGGCAGTAGGAAGCTGGGCATTGTGAAAAGCGCTGTCTTAATTCAAGACAGTGTATTGCCTTGGTGCCACTGAGAACAGGAGACAGTAGTAGATGTTTAGGAAGGAGGTAAGCCTTTCATGAGTTTCTTCAAAAGGAATTTTAGACCTTTGCCTTTGCTGTTAGTAAAACTTATGAAAATAACAGCAGAAATGTATTATTAATCCTAAGCGTTACTTCTGGAAAACTTCCTGTTATACCAGATCTGCTCAGCTGGGAGGGCAGACAGCCAAAGAGCCAGAGGAAATGAGAGATGGGTAGGGAATTTGTACAGGGAAAGGAGAGGAAGAGACTAAAGGGAAAGCAGAGAGCTATGAGGAAGGAAAGCTTTGCTGAGCATCTGCCTGAAGGAAAGGAAAATGGGAGCTGTTGAACTTGAATCTTTTCCAAGACCCAAACAAACCAACAGTAACCACATGTTTGTGATCTAGGCATGGTGTTGCTTCTGTAGGGCAGAGCTGAGTTTGTTTTGAATTCACTGCAGTGTTTTTGTACCTTGCCATGTTCAGCTTTCTTTTAAGTTTAACCTTTGTCTTGGACTTCATTGTGTTAAGAGCGCCTGACTTTGGCATACTTAACATCAGTGTGTTTTAAGTTTCTCATCTTGTCTCTGTCTTATATGGAATTTTTACATTATGATTCTGTTAATGCTGTTGAATTGCTGCAGCAGTGCTTTTAAGAAGGAAGATGATGGATGGAAAAGGGTGGATGTTTGTCCCCACTCCTGCATGTTGAGGTTTATGTCTGTGTCCTTGCACTGTTGTCACGGGTTTGGAAACAAAAGAACTGGAAGAGAATGGATTGAGTGATGTCTGATCTGGAAACAGAACAAAACTCCAGGGTGAAAAGGAGTTTGTAGGGATCTCAGTTTGCAGAAAGGACTGAGGGATGCTCCAGTTTAGTCATGCCAAGCTGGCCACCTCCCCTCAAAAAGGACTTCCAGCCAGCAGCCTGATTCCATCTGCTAACTGGCATCTCTTAGACAATTTGCCAGCCTGACCAATTAAAAAAGTAGAGGAAGGAAAATTACAAGTACAGCTTTAGAACCCATTGATTCAAATATTCACACTCACCAGGTTTTAAATATTTACTAGCCTGCTGAGCATTTTTTAGCACTGATTTATGAGTAAGCATTTACTGTGGTTGTTGGGGGAATGCGTGTGTGTGAGTTGTCTTCCATGTTTGTTTTTTTCTTGGTGTGGGAACTGAGTGCTTACTACAGCACCAAGGTGAATGATATTTCTAGAGGAAGATGGGGTTGTATGTGTGTGTTTAGACATGTTCATTCTCCGTATTTGATCTAACCCACAATTAAATGGCCAAGCACACTGCCTGTTTACTCTACATCGGAAGCTGTTGGCTCTATTCTTTCCCTGTCATTAATGCAAACCCAGACCTCATTGGCTCTGACCATGTGAAACGTCTGTCTGTCCTCCTGTGATCAATACTGTCCCTTCAGAGGTTCAGCTTTGGAAGCAGTGCCATAAAATACCAGTTATTTTTATTTGGATTTGATAAACTTAATTACTTGGAGCAATTAATTATTTATTTGTTTTGTATTGATTGCACTCCAAGGCATTGTGGTATCAATCTGGTGGAGATCAGCACACCCTTATTAGGTAGGAAAGTTTATGTTTCCAGATCTCAACATCCCATAGATTAGTTAGTTGAGATGTGCCCGTTGCTTCTGCTAGCAATTTTTCGTTAGCATACTTGTATGTTTTGCTCTCTACAAGAGAATGGAAGAGAATAATTTCCATGGAGAGCCTCACAGAAGTGTGGAAGGAAAGTAGTAGTTTCATTTCTGTGAATAAAAGTTATGAACAAATGATGCAGGCTGGTTCGAATTCATGTTGTGACATTGCTATTTGTTGTATAACGTGCCCTTTAATTAGGGTCGAGAGAGTGCTGGTGCATTTCCTAATCAAACTCCTAACTGTAGAGAGTGAAATAAGATGAAAACATTGGAGTATTTATTTTAAAAGAAAACAGCACTGGATACAAAATCTTGAATGAAATAGAGGAGATGAATCCAACACTTTTCTTCCTCTGTTCTCATTCTTAGCTAAACTGAAAGCCAGTTTGTGTTAAATTGCTAAAAGAAAATTCATGCATCAAGGTTTTTTGTGGAGTTCTTTGGTGTGGGATTGCATTTGGACCAAAGCCTTTATCAGGCTCTTGGGTACAGAGAGAGCACTCTGGATACAGTAATGAGGTCTTTTAAAATAAGTTGTAGTTCTGGAAAGGAGACTCTGTGCTGCTGCTTCTGTTGAACCATCAGGAATCAGTGTCTGTGCAGTACAAGGCCACA